CTGGCTCAGCCCGACTCTTCAACCCCCCCAGGGATCCCGGGGACTCCCCCCTGCCCTGGGCAGCCCATTCCAACGCCCAACAGCCCCTTCTGCACAGAAATCCTTCCTCAGAGCCAGCCTGACCCTGCCCTGGGCAGCTTGAGGCCATTCCCTCAGGGCCTGGCGCTGGGGCCTTGGCTCCAGAGACTCATCCCCCCTCTCTGCCCCCTCCTGGCAGGGAGTTGCCGAGGGCCAGGAGGTCTCCCCTCAGCCTCCTCTTCTCCAGACTGAACCCCCCCAGTTCCCCCAGCCGCTCCCCAGCAGACCTGTGCTCCAGACCCTGCCCCAGCTCCGTTGCCCTTCTCTGGCCACGCTCGAGTCATTCAATGGCCTTTTTGGGGTGAGGGGCCCAGAACTGAACCCCCTCAGCGAGGGGCGGCCTCCCCAGTGCCGAGCCCAGGGCTCAGATCCCTTCCCTGGCCCTGCTGGCCACGCCAGGGCTGACACCAGCCAGGATGCCGTTGCCCTCCTTGGCCCCTGGGCACACTCTGGCTCATTCCTCACTGGATGCACTGTACCTGGGCACACAGCTGCACTCACAGAAAGCGTGTTTTCCCTGAACTTTGTGCTAAAACGTATTCTGGGATACCCCCATATTTCCCCCCAACACGTGCACGGCAGCGAGTTGTCACGGACCATTTCACTTGCAGACAGCAGATCCTCTTCGGGGATGGCTTCATCCTGCACTTCTCCTGCAGCAGCAGCTCCCAGGTTTGCAGGGAAGGCTCAGCAGCCCTGTGCTGTCTTATAGCACTGCCCCAGACATGAAGGCTTCTTTCCCGTAAATGGGAATATCCACTGCTTAAAGCCGTGAGATCAGTTCAACCTTCCACCTGCCAGCTAAAATAGTAGGGACAGACTGAGGTCAGTACCTCAGTAGGAAAAACCTCATTCAAATGCAGATTCTTTATATCCAGAAAAAATATTTTGCAAGGGGTGGGGGTGTGTGTGTGTGTGAGAAGGAATGCACAGCAGAGAAGATGTATTGTAATCAGATACAGTTTTAATAAAATGTACATAAGTTTACAACTCGAACATTTCTTCATCATGATTACCAGAAACACAGATGATCACACCCGGAGTGCAAAACTTGGCTCCATCAAATCTGCAAGTCAGAGGTACTTCCAAGTCCGCTAAGAATTACTTTATTGAGTGTGGTGCAAACGAAACACTGCTCTTAGGACACGAGTCACAGATTGTTTGTCACAGTTAGCGGAGATCATGGATGCTTCCAGCTCCAGCTTCCCACTCCGTGCAGAAACAAGGGGAGTTTTTTGCTGCCGGACTCGATGGGAAGTGATGCTCTGCAGCTACGTCAGAGCTCCCGGCCCTGAAGAAGCCCCTACCCTCCCCACGCCTGCGAGCAAGCTCTCCCTTTGGCGGGGAGGGATTGGGAACAGGGGATCATCGTGATCCCTCTAACTTCACAGGGGAATATTTCTAGGTGTGTGTGAGGGTATTTGCCCTACCTACAATGGAAACTACAGGCCGTGGCTTATTTTTAGAAACACTAACACAGCTGATCAGGTTTCAGGAATGTGTTTCAGAACTGGAACGAGATTTCACTGTCAAGATACTACTGTAAAAATGCTTTGGAGTCTTTTTGTGTATGAAAGGCCTTGATTTAACACCATGAGGAAAAAAAGACAAAAACCAAAACCAACCGCAAAAAATTCAACTCCCCAACACAAGAGTCTTTGGTGGAAGCTGAGTTAAAGTAACCGATTACCACTTTGGAGTGATTAAGAGTTCAGCAGTTAAAGAGATCTCGCTCAGTCTTGCTTAAGTCCCACCGAAGACACGCTTCAGGCGCCGTGTGTCACGACTGCTTACGTGGCTTTGCTGTTACGAGCGTTAACGCCGCCCGTGTGCTCCGTGCCTCGCGCGCATCACCGAGGGAGTGGGCGCTGGCTTCAGGAGACTAAGGCTGTAAACTGAGCACCACACCTGACGAGTGCTGGGCTGCCTGGAAGGGAGAGGAGATTCGGGGAAAGCCCCAGCGATGCTGCAGCAGGCTGCGGAACGCGCAGGTCACCACCAGGGCAGCTGCTCCCGTTACATGCGCAGTATAAACATCGTGGCAGTGAGGCACAGAGAGCCAAGCAACTGCTTTTTTTTTTTTTTTTTTAAATGTAGAAACTGATTAATCATTTTGAAGAGAGACTTTAAGTGCATTCAAGCTGGAGTTGGCAATGGGTAAGAACCAGTCCCTTTCGCAGCATGAATCTAAGATTGTCGCAGGACTGCGGCGGTAACTGTGGCCCTCTTGCTGTGCGTGAGGACCCAGGGCAGTTAACAGAATTTACTACAGCTTTAAAACATGATTAAACCAGTGCTTCTGTTCAGAAAACTGACTTCCAAATGCTGCATTGAGGCCGTACCAGTCTTATTTCACTAAGATCACTGGTTGCGTAGGAAAGAAAACAATTAGCATTCTTCTTCTACATTCATTAAGAACAGTAAGCTTCAGAGGCTACGGAAATGAGATTTCCACTTGTAATCAATCACACCGAAGCTGCAGTACTGGCAGTGCAGGATTAGGAGGAACACAAGCTGGAAATGCAAAGGATATCAGACTAACAGGCACTGAAATACATTTTTCTGACCATAACCAGAAGTCCCATTACTCTACAGGTCACATGCAGAGACACAAACAAGCTGCCTCGACCCCCCAGAAGAGATTGGAAACCATTTAAGTGCTGGATGTACGCTGCCAGGATCATGAGCTTCTGGGGCACCGTTAGCTTGCTCTTTGTGTAAAGTGCTTGAAGAACATAAAAGCTGCCAAAATGCTAGCTGGAAATTCAGCCTGACCCGACCCGAATCAGGGCTGCAAACAAGCCCCCGCAGGCCGCTGGGCTCGGTGCAGTTGTCCTTTCTCCCTTGGCCGGCAGCGCAGGACACAAGGTCTGAGCCGCAGGCAGCTCATCCCCACCCGGGAACAGGCGCGGGGGGCTCCGCTCCGAGCGCGAAGGGAACAGGCTGATGTTCACCAGCGTCAGCTCAGTGAGACCTGGATGTGGCGCTGAAGGAAGTTTCACAGAATTATCCAAAAGCAGTTTTTCAAGTAAAAATGAAGGAAGGAGAACCTGAATCCAGTTAGCAGAGGTACTACCTTGAACCTACATCTTATTTATATGCACTCGCTCCAGCAAAGCATCTCCCTGTCCCGCAGATTCATCCCAGCACTGCCAAGGCCTGGCCCCACTTTCCAGCAGCTTCCCGAGCGAATTTAACAGCTCGAGGCCAGATTCAGCCTCCTGGCTGCACGCATGGCCGTGACAGTTGCGTGCTGAAGCAAATCTGGGCCCTGAACGCTCAGTCTCCTTGGTATCCCTTGAATTCACAGTTTGCTATCACAGTCATTCTTGGCATCTCTCACCCATCCAATCCAGCAACAACTGATTTAGGGGGAGTTTATATTAAACAAAACCAACAACTGCCTTTTGGGTGTATATTTAAACAGAAAACGACAACGATAAGCAACAGCCTCAGCCTTGCTGAAGAAACATCTCAAGGGAAATCCAGAAATTTCTTTACAGTACTTCTGTTTTCAAGAGGTGACAGAGGACAGAAAAAAACCAGCATGCACCAATATTGTTTAACTCCAAGCGTAGCAGAACAGGGCAGAAGGTTTCCAGCTCCACACAACACGACCTGACCTGGCTTGGCACGTCACCATTTGCCAGCAGCTGGGCTGTGCAAGCCAGCACAACCTCCGTGCTTTCAAGCATTCTCCCTCCCCACGCCAGGGCTTTAAGACCTCAGCCCAAGCTTCTCCCCCCCAGGCAGTCCCCACGCCGAGCACGCCCAGCAGAATATCTGGCTCATCTGTTGCAAGTGGAGATATTCTGAAGGGCAACTGAATTTGGGGAGGGGAAAGGAAACACGGAACAGGCGGCGACTCCTACTTGCAGAAGCTTCGCTAGCCAGCTCCTGGCAGTCAGGGCTTTCCCATCCATCCTCCCCTTGTGCTGCCGGCCTTAAAGTCATCAGCGAGGCAGCCCCGGACTGTGCAACGTTCTGCTGTCACATGCGTCTTCAGTGAGCCTGTTGCATTCCTTTAACACTTATTATTTGGACATCGGACAAAGCTATGTACCGCAGGTGGTCTCTTTTTTTTACACCCACCCCCCAAAAAACCTAGACTGAAATCTATTTCCAGCTGCAGGAGCTCTCCCAGGTGCAATCCCAGCGAGTTAGGAGGTGCGAGGGCTGATCCTTCCCTCATGAGTGACAGAACTCGCAGCACTTTCTGAGTACAAACACGTCAGAGCAGAGGCAGAGCAGGCACCTGCCCCACATACGGCCAGTCCTGATCTCAGCAACCTACCCGCTGCTCCCTACCCTGCAGACGCACAAAGACCTCAAACACCTGAGGGAGACCCCCAAACACACAATACGTGCTCCAACCCCAGCACCATGCTCCAGCTCACGTCACAACGGACAAACTCCCTTTGGAAACGGCCACCGCCAGGCTCTTCCGAGGCTTGGCCAGACGCTACTGGAGTCAGTGGGGACTTTTTCCATAGATGTCAAGTCCTTAAAACCACCAGATGTTTTTTCTTGGGAGACATTCTGCAGCAACACCTGTTAGGAGGAAGGATTACTGCACCACAAAGATTCACCAGCGACTCTGAGCCCAAAGGGTCCCTATAACTGGGTATTTTGGAAGTCAGGCCACGCTTACAAATAGCCTTTGCGGGCCAGAAATAGCAGATCCAGGACAACTTACGCAAGCAGGCGTTTTGCAAAATACAGACAGGAGGTTTCACTCTTACCTCTGTCTTATATTAGTGAAAAGAGAGGGGAGCAAAGTCTGCTTTGTTTCTGCCCAGCTGCCAGCCTGGGCGATTTTTCCTCCAAAACTATCTTGGGATTCACTACATCAATGACTGAACAAACACCCAGACGCCGTCTTTCTCTGTGGGGATATGGTAGAAAGCACAGGAGTGTGGAAGTAGAGCAAACGTTACCAAAGGAGTGTGAATGGATTTTGTTTAGGTTCATCCTTGATCTACAGGAAAACAAAAAAGGCAGAATTTACAAATATAAAGTCACTACACTATAGACAGTATAAATCAGTCTCACCGGATTGCATCCAATGCTGAATTACACCAAAAGAGGTATTTATAGATCAGGACATTTATCGAGTTGTTTGCATAATCATTTTTTTCGTAAGGCTTTTTTTAATACTGTAAAAATGCACGGCTCTCTCCTTCACAACACCATAAGCAAACTTCTGGGTCCTACACTTTGGCATAAACCAGACAGGGAATACATGCGTAAAACTAAAGCTCTGCCTGATCATTCGGTTTTCCAAACCACAGCAACAGTAACAGCCCGACACGTTGCTTTGCTGAAGGTCGTGTATCTGAGAGTTGACAAGACGAGGGACTGAAGGCACCGTGAGTCCTTCCACGACTCCTCCGGGCTCTGGCACAGGCCCCTGGGCAGAAGCGTTTCCCCACGTTCCCTGCCCCAGCGAGCAGAAGCGCTGCCCGTGCGATGGCACGGCTCTGGCTTGGCGTGTCACCACCACGCACGCCCATGGTCAGAGCCACGGCTGCCAGAGCAGCAGGAACGTACGACCCTGCTCTCGAGCCCCCACCGATAGCACAGAAGTCGCAGGAACCCTGTAACGGGGAAATCTCTTTCCAGAGCACTAGCAAGTCCCGCTTGACTTACTCTGTAATTAAGAAACCTTTTCATTTATAATGCATTTCCCTAGCCAGGACCGGAAAATATGGAATATTACTGGTTTGGAAAAGCTTCTAAAAAATAAATGGGGGGGAAAGACAGTGAGAGGAGGAAGGTAAGAAGCAACTGAAAAGGATATGAAGATCCTGAGAGCCAGGCATTCAGACTAACTAACATAACTTAAAATGGTTCAACTATATATCACTGCAAATAGAGTTCTGACCAAAAAATAATAATTATTTTTTATATATATATATATTGCTATACCATTCATTTCAACTAAGAGGTTCAAGGTCCTGTGAGAGGTGCTCCCGGGGGACGCACACCTCCCAGCTCACAGCAGATTAAGGCTTTTGCTTTCCTGCTTTGGAAGGAAAGGGTGCTGAAGCAAACGGATCCCCGCCGGAGAGCTCTGTAGTCCTGGAAGACAGAGGGGCAACAGAGACAGATCCTGCTATCGCCTGCCTGTTGGTCTGAGAAACCACTTTGTAAGCAGCTATGGGCTTGACTTCGAGACCCTGCCCATCTTCTGGACTGTAGTGACGGGAATATTTTGACAAGGATTGTGGACGGAAAGGCTTGTTAAGCGCAGAGCCCAGCACACCTTCCTGGGGCAGCGCGGGGCCTCCCTGGTTCCTCTCGCCAGCAGCGCCACCCTGCTCCTGCAGCACACCCTTCGAGGGGGGGCTTTCCTGGGTCTCCACGGCTCTTACAGAAGAGGGATGAAGATTGCTTGGCTGAGTAAACCCGGCAGAGGGACACTGAGATCTCGCCGAGGCCGTGGACCCACCGAGCGCCGAATCCACGCCTGGGAACAGCTGGTTAGCTCTGTGTTGGACGTCACCTCCTGCGCTTAAGAAAACGGACGGTGCGAACAGTTCCTTAGACGTACTGTGGGAAGTCAGCTCTTCCGTGCTTTTCTTTTTAGTGAAAGGGGCTCTCAGAAACACATCTGCTTCTTCTGGATGTCTAAGAGCCACGTTACCCTTGGAGATAAAAGGAGCTTTGGTAAAGACATCCACCTCATCAGGCACTTTTCTAGAGCTTCGAAAAGGAGCCGTGGCAAAAACATCGGGTTCGTTGAAAACCTCCCCAGTGTGCGACTGGAAGGCAGGGAACAGCATCTCCCCTGCTCTAGTCTGGGAAGACTGGGAGTGGGGATCTTCTTTGGAGGCCTCGTGTCTTTCCCTGGGCGCAGACTGCAGGAACCCTGTGCACAGCTTGTAGGTATCCTCCTCCTCCTCCGAATCCATCAGCAAAGGCCTGGACCCGCTGCAATCCAAAATATCTCCTTCATGGTCTGTCCCCTCTCCTTCGCTGCTGTAGAAGGAGCTGTTGCTTGAAGGACCATCTCTTGTTAAATAGTCTGACTCCGGGTTGGGCTGCGTTTTCACTTGCATTATCTCAGACTGACCCTTATACAAAGCAAGTCCGTCACTGCCAGAAGGTCCTTTACAGAGTTCAAGAGCTACAACAGGGAATAGGGCTGGATCCCTCTGCAGACCTAAAAATGCAAGGGAAGAGTGTTACTCAACAAGCTCCATCTCTTTAGTCATAAACATGAATGAAGGATACTTCTTACACGGGAAATGTCATGCTGTTCAGATTTAAACCACCATCACACATGGAAAATGGGAAGGAGAGGGAGGGCAAGTAAAAGAAAATAAAAAACATGGGGGAAGGTATTTACAACACACAAACTGACCCACAACTCAGCACCACCTCACAGCTCGGGGGCACCACCAGTACCAGTTTTCAGAGATGGAAGATGTTTGACACACAAATGGGCACACCCAGCACTCTCTCAGCGCCGCTCCACAAGGGTTTCCTCTGCCCCCCATGACGACCACCACCGTCAGAGGTTTCCACTTTGTGACACTGTTGCCCGGAGTGAAGCTCCAGCAAACAGACAAGTTCAGTCATTTCGTTCTGCCCTGTTATTTACTGACTCCCTACAAGCAGATCGGTAGCTGGGCACAGCCGCTATTTCTGCAAGTCATCCCCCGGATACATGGAATTACAGTCAGGCATGTAAAATACACAGGGACGTCCCGCAGTCTGCTGAAATAACGTACACATTACAGCGAATGGAGGTCAGCCCACAGCTTTTAAAGAATCCTGGTGACTACAGCAGCATTATTTTAAACGACTGCAAGACACAGGATTTTAAACCCTCCGTACCATGACTTCACGTATCCAACATAACTCTAACCACCTGGTAGTGTGCCTGACCTTGTGGGGAGAGGCTCGCTGCTCTGCTCTTCTCCAGCCACAAGAGCCCACGCTGGGGTTGGGTTGGCCTTAGGACTCACACAGACAGAACAGAAGATATCTTACCTTCAAAGCACTACTGGCAGGTTAGGAGTATGTCATTGGACTCATGTTAGCAAGAGGACAGGAAAAAGGCACATGAAAACTAAGCAGTTTGAGTTGCAGAACAATGAGGAGGGTAAGGAGGTTGTTTGGTGTCCACTGACCAATGGACAGGCGAGGTACTAACCAACCCACCCTGCTGTGACAAGATAGCACCAGTGCCCAGGTTAATCGTTCACAGCTGCACACCCACTGCAGCCCACAGGGCACCATTTCTTGATGGAGTCTGTAGACTGACGCAAGTTAACCCGTTCTTAGTCACTGCTCACCATTGAAGACACAGCAGTCGGTCATTAGGCATCAAAATCGGTGTTTATTGGGAAACTATTCACTTAGATACATTACACTGCTAAGTAAAGACAGTGTAGATATGCGAACATTTTATAAGTTACTCTACAAAAATACTATCTATCTTTCCTGAAGCCTATGCTGTCGGCCATGGTTTAACCTTAGATGCCGATCTCGGATTACAGGAACAGTACGTCTATGGTGTTGCTTTCTTCCAGGAGGCTGGTTATACATTTACCAGGTATTATGGTGAGATTTTGAGAATACAGGCTGGAGCAGAGCAAGACCGGTTGCCACATCACGCCAACACCTCTGAGTTACCCACTGCTCACTGAAGTAGAGCGTACAGGAAAACAAGGGAGGGGAAAAGGCATTTATGAGGTCAACATTATGCCGATGCAAACCAGTGACCTGCTTTCCACCAGAACAGCGCAAACAAGTCACCTGATCAGAATTTTCTTTTTAAAGAGTTTGTGGGTGTCTACGTTCACGTAAGTGATGACACTGAGGACAGAGTAAGAGAAGGGCTGACAGGATATAAGCCCGTTCGCTTAGGACAGGAGCAGCACGTGTCTCTGAACTTGGAAGCACTGTGTGACAGGCAAAACGCTCTGGTTTTGGAAAAAAATTACTTTTTCCAATGCTTTCTCGCTCTCTCTGCCCATCATAAGTGAGAAGGGCACTGAATGCTTGGAAGCAGTTTTCTCCCTTGCTAAGGCCAGTCCAGGAGTTGTGAATTACTCTGGGAGGAAGAAACGGAGCGATCGTTAGGTAGGAGCCTTCAGTTCAGAGCTGCTAGGCAGCAAGAGCAAGAAAGGAAGGGCCCTGACAATTCGAAAACACCACAAATAGGCTCAGCGATAGTAAAACGCAGTTACCTGAGCAGTTTGGGGATTTACTGACAAGAGAGAAGCACCATCTACACTCCCATGTTCTATTTTTCTGACGTTGGAGGAGGAAGACCTGGCTTCCAGCCACCATCCCACAGTAAGCAATCTCTTTCCTTCCCGTGTTTCTTGGGTTCCCCCGGGTTGTTTCCTTTGGTAGAAAGCAAAGGGACCGTCCCAGAAGGAGCTATGGCAACATCACTACCCCAGGGAAGACAACATCATGCCAGCATCTGACTTTAGCCAACACCTGGGTGCATGTCTAACTAGACAACGGCTTAGACATCTCCTCTCGGTTGTTAATCACCTGTGTTAAGGTCTGAGCTATGCTTAGACACTGAAACGTGCCACCGAACTGAAGAACCCAAACCCCTTTGTGTAACGCTCGGGTTAGCGCGAACGACGCAAGGTCCGTGCATCCACACGAGCAGCCATAGCTACGGGCCTTGCAGAGAAACGCGTCGGAGGCGCGTGCTGCGGAACTTTTAGGACGATAGAGAATTTAAGTCAGGCAGCGCCGACGGATGCTTGGGCAGGTCTGAGAGCGGAGACCAGCAAGACTGAAGTGCTCGAGGGAGAGTTTCACATGAGAAGGCAGGGTAGTTTTGTTCTGTGTTACCATAACGGAGAGCAAGGGTCACTCCACGAGCTGGTAACAGCATGAGGGGAAGTGACAAATCTGAAACTAAGACTGTGCCTTTTTGTTGGCAGCCCTGCCCCTTCTCTGGGACAACTCGGCTCGCTCTCACACCGAAGAGGTCTGAAGAGATACAGGCAGATGATCTGCTTGAGACGACACACAAGGCAGAGAGATGCCCCTTTTCCAGAGGCAGCACTTCCTAACATCTGCCTGTGCCAAGATGGACCCTGTCTACGGGCAGCTGCCTCTTCCGTCCCCTCCTCTTCTGGACTCCCGAGATCCGCGTGTTGCTTCATGGGGAAGCGTTCCCTGACGTTTTCAATTAACGCTCAGGTTTTAACGCACGCACGCTCCTAACAGCTGCAAGCTTTACAGCATAAAATCTTGCCAGACGCTTGAGTCTATAGATAAGGTTTCTCCCCTCCCTACCCACGTACAACATTCACGTGTAATTTTTTATGCCAGGATCAGCTATACACGCTAAATAACCAACACCCCGGCTCCCCTTCTGCAGGAAGAACCTTAGCAATGAAAACCCTTATCGCCTGGTACCCCAGGAACACACCCTGCGTGTATTCAGATGGAAACCTGAAGAAAAGACCGTTTGCTCCCGAGTTACAGCACTGACACACAGATTTCCTCCATCTTTTAAAGAAAAGGTGCATTGAAGTGGCACAGAACTGAAATAACGGACAGGAAAGCTATAAAAGATTTATTCTCCCTATCACAGGGGGCTGCAAGGAGGCAGAGCAGTCACCAAGATGATGATCTCATCGCTGGGGCAGAGTCCAACAAGGAATCAGGGAGACAGAGGCATTTCTCTTCCACTAAATATCCTGATTTCATCCAGCCAAAGTCAGGCAGGTCTCAAGTTATGGTAATTTGTACCTAAAAATCAACATACTAGTACGCAAGATTACTAGTTTGACATTTTAAAAGGGTCAAAAGACTTCTTAATCCTTTGGTCTTGAAGTGGTGGAGTGTCTCCTTCCATTCGGACTCCTAGACGCACTACCATTCAGTAACGACACAAAACCACCCCTCAGTGCTTTCAGTGGGGAGCATCAACCCGAAGACCCAAGGTCAGCATCACCATTACAGAACCACAGAATTGTCTAGGTTGGAAAGGACCTTGAAGATCATCCAGTCCAGCATCAACCCAACATTAACAGTCCCAAACTACAGCATATCCCTCAGTGCTAAGTCAAGCTGACTCTTGAACTTTTGTTACCATGTCACTGGACAATTCGGACAGCACAATTACGCATTTCTGCACAGCGGCAGATCTAGGAACAAATCCGGGGTTCTTCAGTTGCAGATAAGGAATTTAACATTCAACTTTTGGCACACTTGTACAGTCACCTGCACCATGCAGAGTTAAACGGACAAACCCACACACCATATTCCAGCAGTTTATGAACACGACCGACCCCCCGGAGCCTAACAGCATCGTTTAGCTTCCCCCTCGTTGGTACCAGGCACAAGCCAAGGGTTACGTATGCAAGTCATTGCTAAGATGCAGTCTGACCGTGTAAAAAAAAAAAAAAAAATAAAGCGGCAAATTTCTAGGGGTTAAACTCCCTCCTGTGCAGGGCAGGAGCACAAGTCTCACACATCAGCACTGTCCTTCAAACAAGCCCAGGCAGGCAACCCACCCTTCCTCCCCAGAACAACGGATCTGACGCTGCGCGAGGAGTCTGCGCTCCCGTGCGCAGGCACGGCTGTCCCCAGAGCGCAGCTGCTTTCTGATACAGAAAAATACCACGGAGGAACAAAAAAGATAAACACAAACCCCACCTCCCCCCCGCCCCAGGTCTCTGTTTGGCTGACTGGAGGTTTGGATGATGTTATTTAGCAACACCCGACCCTGCGACCCTCAAAAAGGGACAGAAACCTCTCCCATGGCTTCAGATCAGGCTCCGACCAAGCTATAGGGGAGAGTCATTCCGAGGGGATTTGGGGGATGATGAAAGCAAACAGCCCCCGTGCAGACACGGGATGGAAGTTCCGTTTGTTCCTTCACAGCAGCAGCTTTCACACAGACGCCGACTTCTGAGCGGCATACCAACACCAACCCAACCCCTGGACAGTCACCTTTTCCGGAGTGCTTAACATTAACAAATATCCGCTCATTCCATCTCTTGCATTTTCCATTCATTCTGTGAGTAAGTAGTGAGTGTTTTCTGAAGGAGGTCTAGATAACAGACGTCTCTAAAAACGTATGCTCCCATTGCATTGTATTTCCCACCCAGATCCATGAATAGCTACTTGAAAAAGCAATAAAATAAACATTCACATCTTATTTAATAGCATTATTAACATCCCAGTGCATTTATAATTTTTTTCCAGAACCCTTGAACAAGCGCCATTAGATTTAAAATCTTAAACATTCTTTAAAAGTACTTTAATTCACAGAAATCTTTGTTTCTAATATACAGTAGATGGTTACTTTTTAAAATCCATTCTCTTTTCATATAATCTCAGTATCTGACTATACAATAACTTTCTATCTATAGCGTCTTCATGTTTTCCAGTCCAGCTTGCCTGTGCTTTAGGAATATAAAACAAAAAAATAATAAAGTTCTATCCACAATTTTACTAAGGTCATTTCCATAGTTCTCATGTAAAGCTTCTCTTGGAAAGTGCAGTATACACATGTAATGATACAACACACTTAAGCAATACTTTTATTATTAAGTGTAGGTTTTAAAAGAAGAGTAATGTAGAGCAGACACAATCGATGGTAGTTCTATTTACAGAATTTGTTAAACTAAGTGTTGGGGTGGGGGAATAGCGGAGAGACTGGAGATAGGAAAGGAGTAGTCACGAACTTTGATTTCTTTCCTTCTTAGCGAGAGGGCAGTACATACATATTTCAGTCGTTCATACTTTCGCACATGGGAAACTGCACTTTTACTAATACAGCTACATACACATACACAAGGTTAGCAGTAAGCTATTAATTATTCCACTACAGAGGAAGAGTCCTTCTGTTCAGAAAGAGCTTTCAAATACAAGATAGAAATTCCGGACTTCATGACCATAAGCCAATGAAAACAAGTTTAGCGTATCCAGCTAGTTGACAAACTAAGCATGTGAAGGGAGAAAGAAAAGGTAAAAACCCATCAGGTTGTAGCAGCACTTATTTCAAACCATCTGAATCAAGTGCATGCTTGTTCCACAAAGACTGAAGCGTGGCGTAAAGTCCACAGTAATCTTTGTCTACTGAAACAAATGGTTCCATACTGAACTGGTTTGCACTATATGCAGTTACAAGAGAAAAAGGGGAACCCAGAACAGATACCAGATGCTTGACTAAAACCAGGATTAAAAATAGACAAACAACCGTAGGACAATTTGTTTCATACACAATTTACAGTAGGTTGGGGGGGATTTTCTTTTTTTCCAGTCAAACACAGAAAAGAAGTCACAGAAAATACATCTGCTGCTGCCACAATGCCCTTTTCATCCAGAAAGGTGAACAAAACGCTAGGTCACAGCCATACTCACATGTATTTGGTTCAAAAACTTGTTATATTTCACTTAGGGTCATTTCTGCAGCTTTAACAATCGGGTTGTTTGTTTTTTTTTTTCTTTTTTTTCTTTTTTTCCCCTTCCCCAAGGAAGCGCAGTTCATTTGCAAGCAGGATTGTTAAACAGCAAACCATTAGTTGGGGGCAGTCCGGAAAACTCTCTTCATACGCACCATCACCAGAGGTACTAGGCAAGACTACTTCAGAGGCATTCAGTGCTTTCTCCTCCTCTGAAGCATGTACTGGCAATTTAGAAACATCAGCTCTCCTAACCTGTATTCTGCAGGAGAGGGACGTCCCTACCGATTCCACCTGTCCCCTTCCTCCTGCCCATTCATCAGAAAACAGGAACAGAACAAAAACCAAACCCAAAAACACAAACGCAAAGATTGAAACACAGTTGTTCACGCACTACTCTAAGGAGAAAGGAGTCTGTTGTACGCAGGGATCACAGGTCAGCTACAATGAGCTAATTCATTTACAGTTAGGCTTTCCACGGTGCTATGTGTTCATCCCGGCAGGGCGGCTAAGGACAGCGCTCCCTTTAGACACAGGCTACTAGAGACAGGTGCAGAAGGAACCACAACAGCTTTTTACCAGCTTTAGAGAGGACTACCTGGAGAACTGAGACAGAATCTTTCCCAGAGCATGGGAAGACAGGGAGAAAGGTGGATGACTGTCTCCTGTAGGTAGATTTGTTTTTCTTTCAATTAAGGAGCCAAAAAAAAAAAAAAAAAAAAAAAAAAAAAGAAGGTAACTCTTCTGGAAATGAAAACGGAGGATTAGGTACGTTACAGAAACTGCGTCTGCTACTGTGTCACTGCTACAGGTCTATGAGCTGATCCACCAGCAGTAAAGACCTGGCTATGTTGGGAAGACTGGACTCAGAGCTTCCACTGTTGTTTCTAGAATGCCCACCTGAAAGTGTGAGAGATAGGAATTCAGTATTGAACAGGACACACACACGCGACAGTTTCAGATGTTCAAGAGCAAGCAAGAAAGAAAAAAAGTCAAAGCAAAACAGAGAATTTGCTCAAGCTCTTCTCATTACTCACATCACAACAGCAACATTCCCCTGCTTGCTCTTCCGCCCTCTCCCCCCACCCCAACCCTAGCTCGCTGGATGGAGAAACATCACAGCAGCCAATAAATCTCTATCAACTATGTCTTTTTCCCAAGGTTTACATCCAAGCAGCAGAATTCTGTCCTTACTAAAGGATCTATAAAGCAATTGCAAGAACTCCCACAGCCTATAGAAAGGACTGTTCAGAGTTTTAAAGCACAAACTAATGTCAAGGTTTAAGAGCATCTCTGAGCTGCCAGCTACTTTAAGGAGAGCTGAGCTTTCTGTAACTGATACTGTGATACCGAAGTCAAGAGGCTCCTCTTTATTCAAGGCAGCCTATCTTGGCCCGACTTTGGTAGAAATCTCTGACTTTCAGCAGGAGCAGAGTTTCTATGTCCAAGAAATTTTTCTAATGAGTGTCAGTCTGAAAGCTAGCATCAGATGCGGAGGAGGTGTACAGCACATTCCTGCTGTGAACAAAAACGGGAGCTAGGGAAATAGAAAACTTCTAGGATCCAACTACAAAAAACTCAGAGGGGAAAAAAAAAAAAAAAGGGAGCCCTGGAGTATGTCTTTAAACCTATGCTAGCATACTGAAAGCTGTAATCAAAACTTTTCAGCAGCGTGACTGCAGAGAGAAGAGCTATTGGACTGACCAGACTGCAAAATGCTGCCTACTTCTGCCCCTGCAAGAGCTACAAAATGCAGAGCTATTATTTCTCTTAAGGAAACAGTGCTGCTTCTTATACTTAACCATGCATAAGGCTGAAACTGTTTGCAGAGATCACGGTAACGGGATCTAGGTGACAGGAATGCTGCAAACCGAGCAGCTTTCCAGTCTCTGTCCCAAGGACTCTGACTGCTCAAAGCTCTTCAAAGGAGGTGGGTACTGTCTACCAAACTTCTCATACTCAGTTCCCACAAGCACCTTTGAAAGATGTCAGTCAGAAGTGAAAAAACTCACTTTCAGCAGGAGTTTCAGAGTTATAATGGATTATCATCCTACTTCACATGGGCTGCAGCACCACTGCCCCAGAACTTTTCCTTTTTTCCTTCCCTTTTTCACCCCGAATCCTGGCTTACCTTGTGAATTTTTGGATATCAACACTGGAATTGGGTCAAATTCATCTTCTGTCACTTTTTCAGAGCCCTCAGGAGCATCAAAGCCTGATATCAGGTTAGTATCTTCTGCAGCATAAAGGAGAAACAGAGGTAAAGGAGCAAAGACAGCAGAGAAGGCTGGTTAGAATTGCTAAAAAGTGTTAGAGCATCTTTATGTTTTCACAGACAGGGTTTAGAAGCAGCAGTTTCATTTAAAGGTGAAATAAAGTTGGTGTTTGGTAAAGAAGGTAAGAAGTAAGAGAGCCAATTAAATACAAAAGTAGAGAGGAAAAACACAAAAAACACAAGGCAAGTCATGAGAACCAAAATAAAATTTGGCCAATCTAAAGGCTTAAGAATCGACACAGTTCAAAGCTGTGGTAAAGGCCTGGGGCTTAAGCTCCAAGGACTGAAGGTATTCTCTGTCATCGTCCAAAGGCTGTCAGATATTAGTACAGTTTGAGAGCGCAGTCTGGCTCTCTGTTACCAGCTCTCATGCACACGGAGAAGAAAAAGGCTGGGAAAAACAACACACAGAAGAAATTCCAGTCATCAACGTGAGGCAAAACCCCTGAGCTTTCACCTACAGTGGTAAAACAAGAAGTGCGATATGAAGTCAGACTTCCAAGGACTTTAAAATGCCTGAAGATGTAACTAGATACCAAGGGAGATTTTTTTTTTAAAAGCCCCTAAAGCTCTTCTGGCAAGTAATTCCATTGACTTCAAACCACGTCAGCTGCAGTGAGACGCGTGGTGGGAGGCACTTTCAACAACCTCCACAATAGAGAAGACATTTATCTGCCTTACCAGGCAATTACATGCCTTTAGGGACTTCTGCACTCTCCCTGTGCATCACTACTTCTTACTTCAGACACCTAAAATACCTTCCAAAACCTGGTCCTCAATCACTACCTGAAATATTTCTGAAACCTAGCAAGGACACGTACAAGTCAACGGTTTCCAAGGAACAAGAACGTTCCTGTTTGACACCTCTCAAGAACAAAAGCTCTCTACCTAAAGCTGACACACAGGCTGACAAGGTTTGGGGTGAGATTATGCAAGAAACCACTTGTGGAAATGCTCTGTCCTCTGGAGGATCAGACCCAGGAAAAAATTCCACAAACTTTATAGAAGACTAGCCTGTAAAGCGTCAAAACCACAAGGACGTTTCATCTTAACAGAAAGTCTCATCTTGTCATCGCTCTGTCTCCAGTTATTTATTTGTGGCTCTTCTCAACCTACATGGGAGCCTTTGCAAGCATCCGATTTCCACTTCACCTCATTCGTTCACATTGCCGTCCACAAGCTGATGATGCCCACGGGCAGAGCATCCGCCCCACGGGCGCTCTGCATCTTCAGAGCCAGGATTGGGTAAACAAAGCCAACAAAACCCAAAGATTTGGGACAGATGTGCAGTTAATGGCCACACCCACAGCTATAAAAGCAGGGTTGGAAAAGAAGCCACAAATGACTTCTGGAAGATTTTAATATTTCCCCCCCAGCCCGCTAATAGAAGTCTCGCTTTCCTTGTCAAACGTGAGCCTCTTCATCCCAGAGGGAAGAGCAGGGCAGCCGGGGAGAAGTCACGCAGGACTCTGTTCATTCATTTTCTCGTTAAGTCACACCAACAATGTTTTGGCTTTACTGTGTTCCAGACATGGAGTAATAACTGCTCGACATACATTTGAAGCCATTTACTCAAAATAAAGTGGCATGGAAGTGTATTATAGCAGTGAGCAATTAGAACAACGGCTTGTTTAAACCCAAAAGCTCTATGAAAAGCACAAACTCATTTTGAAGTGCCATCAAGTGTAAAAATTGATTACAGACTGTTTTTACAGCGATTCCTCTGAGGACAGATCATTTTCTGTTGCTATAGGGATACTCAGCACACGAGCTAAGCAAAACTCGTCGCCAAGGGGCACGCAGTAGTTAGCATTCGTGCTCTGGGCCTCTCTTTTCAAGGCAGTGAAGAGCAGGGAAGTCCTGCCTTCCCCTCCCACCCGGGGGGATGCGTTACTACCCAACATTCACTACAAGCCTGGTTTATGTGAGAGTCATTCGCTAACACCTGGCACTTCCCCCAGGGACACATGTGCTGCTCACGACTGCTTTACCCCGAAACAGGGATGTGCCAGAACAGAGCAGGGAAAGTTCACTGTGCGAGTCGCACTTCAGCTCTTCAAACTACTCCACTGCCACTGCTCCAGCCACACTGCATGGAGAGGGCCTGGATTTCAGCCTGATGCTCTGCAGGTTGGGAAGAAAAATAAAAAGCCTTCTGAGCCAGGACCCCCTCCCAGGGTTCTCTACTCCCGCTTGTTAGTGGAAGGAGAACAGGACCCTGATCACTGCACAGTATTTGCACGATTCCACTCGAGCGCAAATACTGAGGCACTGCAACGGCTGATCTGCAGCTCTTCAGACCGCATGGGCTCTGCTTCTCCTTAGCTCTGCTTTTTCATGTTACTGTGAAACTATTCCATTATTCAGTTGGATACTGCACTTGGATTTTCATTCATATTTGCTGTGGCACTGCAGTTTGACTCAAGAACCTCCTCATGTCAACCTCTGAAGAGGAAAACATTCTTTAGATCTGAAAAAGCTCACTCACATGCCTCTGACGCTAACTCCAACAAACCAAAAAACAATTCTTTTTGTTTCAAAAACCTGGGACACCAGTACAGATGATTACCAGGCTCCTTTCCAGAAGTAACAATGCAGCAGAAAAGCAGGTCTTAAATCCCCTGTGCAGAAAGCAAAAGCAGAGTGCATTCACTTACAGACCTGAAGGAGGGCTGCACACAAAAGCCTACTGTATCCCTTCTGCTCTACCCCTGTTTGTGGAAGATGCCACCTGTCTTGACAAATCTTGTCAAGTCAAACTGAACACTTACCTATAGTACTATATATCAGTACTTCAACATGCACAAAGTTACACCAGCTTGGGAAGAAACAAAACAATGGCTTGGGAAAAAAACAACCAAACCCAACCAAACCACCACCACAACACAGGTCAGAGCATCTCCTGGTGTACACGGGCATCAGCTTCACTTCACAAAAGCTGAAGACCATGTCCCAGGCCTGATGAGGTGTTAGGGACAAGGGGACAGTTTACCTTTGTGAGGCTGAGCCGCGAAAGCTACGGGAGCAAACTCGTCCAAGAGGTCAGCAGCAGGGTTAGAAAGCAGAGAACAGTCAAGCAGAGAGTCTTCCCCAGTGAGAGAGTCTGAAGCCAGGTTAGCATCCAGAGGCCACAAGGTAGCAGTAAACAGGACACAAACACTGTTAAGCTCATTTTCTCACATTCCTGTTCCCGCCCGCTCAGTGTACAAACAGAGGCTTGATGCAAAGCAGCACAAGAGCTGCTATTTGTTGTGAGGGAAAACATTTCTTACTGCTCTGTAGTGAGGGCAGAGTAATTCCCAACACCTTTAGCAACATAACACATTCTATGGAGCTAAATACCCTCTAAAGCGGAGTATACAACCATGACATTCCACACAAGTGACAGGTTAAAGGAAGGGGAGCAAAGGGGAGCATGAGGAGGGAAAGGATTGCAAGGACTCCCTGGCAAAACAGTGCACTGGCTATTTCAGAAGAGAGCTCTGAAAAGATGTTGAGTCCATCTGCTGCAGAAGTGGCCAGACCAAGGCCGTCACAGTAAGAAAGGGCCATGGATTCCTTACTGCCACACCCCAGTGGAAGAGACAAAACCAGTGACTGCTCCGGATTGCAAAAGCGCTTCATGAGAGCAGTACTCTGACACCTACAGATCTGTAACGGTGGGCTGAAGGAACACTGCACCCATCTGCACGAGGAGACAGGTAACGCTGACCTTCACGGCACATGCAGCATCCGCTTACAAGACACACACGCAAGCCCAGTTTACACTGGTGGGAAAAGCAGCAGAGCTGCTTCTGCTGAAGCAGACGGTGCTTTGCGATTTAACACAGCCCACAGCGATGCGCTGCACCCCTGCCCCCCAACACCCTCCTGCCTCACCAACCTGTTCTGTTGGAGGCAACCGACTCGGTCTGTGACACAAGGCGTTGGGGCAAGGGAGCCTCGAGGCCCGGTATGAGACTCTCAACAGCTACGTCAGGTTTTCCTTTCCAAATGCGCAAAACAGCAGAGCAGAGAAGAAGCCAGAGGTTAGTTTGCGAGACACAGCATAAATAGAACTAAGGCAGCAGTTGTCTGAATCCTTTAGTCACCCTTTCACGTGTCAGCTACGCTGGCCGCAACAGGAGGCTGAAGTTAGACCAATATTAATTTAATCACGAGGGAAAACTGTAACACGTTGGCGTTTGTTGGGTGTGAAGGGTTTTTTTAATGTTGTTTTGGTTTTTTAATTTAATTTGTGCAAGTCCAATTTCAAACATCCAGAGAGTGGGACGGGAGTTAATGATCCCTGCCCTGCAGCTAAGCAGCAGGCCTGGGGCTGGGCAAACAGCTACCTGCTTTTGCAAGATCCTTTTCCAGCAAAAGGAAAACACTGACCTTTAAGGAGTCCCCTTGCATTCGAAGTAACAGCTCATTAAAACATCTGCTGTGGAACCCTTAGCATATCCCCAGTTAAGCTTGTAAAAACCCAAGACACGGGATTTTCTTTTCCACTTTGAGTGCCCGGTGGAGCAAAGATTGCAGACCCTACACAGACGTGAAAAGTTTTGAAACTCAACATCTTATTGCTAACACCAGTCCCCACTATCGTCTCATGTTGATGTCCATTACGTGCATACAAAGGGAGATGTTACAAAGGCTGGATATAAAGATTTGTTTTTACAGAAACCATAAAAGGGAGGGGGAGACACAGAAGATAACTATCGCAGTCACAGCAGCCAGGTATTAAGGCTTGTCTGTGCCTCTTCCTCAAGGACCAGCATCAAGGTAATGACCAACTTGTTAAATTGAAGAACAAGGCTGCACTCAAAGCCAGGACCCAAAATGGTCTAACTGGTCAACCTAAGAGAGATGAATGCATATTTTTGTTTGTGGACCAGCATGTGTGTCTGATTTGCAGGATGATTATCCGCAAGTATTCAGACAACTGCTAGAAATTGCAAAAGGGAGAAAAAGTCTTACTATTAAGGTGACTCATTTCCTAACTTGCTATTCAAAGCTACACGGTTGCAACCAGCTAGCCAGGGGACCCTGGCTGGGACCCAAACCCCAAAAGCAGTCGGCTGCAGCTAACTGCAGCCTGCAATTACTAGTCTTTCGTACATTTGGCAAGTAGATCAAAACACGGTTCTGCAACACTGAAATGTTTATGCTGCCTGGAGCCTGTTGCATCTGGGCTCATGGATCCTAGCACGTTTATTCCCCATAATGACCCAGGTCAAAGGCAATTCTGTGCTCCTCATCCTGCTGGGGGTGGGTGGAGACACAGACAGGCTCAGTGCCTGGGCCATGGTCCACAAAATCCTGAAGTGCAGGAATTTTTTTGCATCTTTTTCTTCAATCAATTAACTTTCTTCTACGAAGACCAGAAGAACACACAAGGCACAACCGCGCCATGTTATCGTGCCAAGTCAGTAAGCCTATATTTTAAATGCAAATACCAAGTCTTCGCTGTTCAGATGCTAGTCTCATGGAGAAGAGGCAGGTCTGTCTCAGCATAATCCATTATCTTCCCATTACACTGCGTTTCACCAACATCAGCAGCTGTTTTGAGCGCCCAGTGGGGGTAAACACGCAGTTATCATGCGGGACAAGACATGCCATGTAAGACATAGGGGAGGAGGCACCCTGAGTTTATTTTTACCATTCACAGCGTCTGACGTGCTACCGAAGGGGTCAGCGAGAGGCAGGATATCAGGGAGCAGAAGCGCAGTCTCAGGAGATTTGAGTCCCTCAATCAGTTTTTCTGGGTTAAGCGGGAAAAGGAGGAGGGCAGGCAACAGAGAAAAAAAAAGCAAAAAAAAAAAACAAGACAACATTAATCAGGTGCTCAGTTCAGTGGCTCACAGTCCAGTGTGACAGCCTCAGAAGAGCATCGGCACGGTTCTGTGTGCAAGTAACGCTGTCACTCAGAGATATTAGAGGGCAGCTATTCACCAGCTGGCCATGGTCATCCAAGACAAGCGAGGACACTCGCACCCACTGTGTGCTGCCCTCCCTAAGGAGCCACTGCAAAACAGCGAGCGGTTCTTTCACAACTAGTCAAAGCACAAAAGCCTAATATGACCCACTGAAAATTAAATTTAAAAAAAAAACAACAACAAAAAAATCCCCACCCTGCAATTTTTCCTCTCTCACCTCCCCCTCATGCTGGGGAAGTCTTCGTTAGTCTTTGTATGAAGAAATGGAAGAAGAGATCAGAAGCTGACGATGCTAGAGCTAGGTACCCAACACCTCTCAATATGCTCAAGAATGGAAAACTTACAGCCCTCAGGAGCTTAAGCTAAACCAGAAATCATTGAGACACTAGTGCCAGACATCAGAACTTGCCCTTGGGTTAAAGAGCTGTCTAGTTACCAATTATTTCAAGTATCAGGTTTTTAATCAGATAATTCTCAGCAGTGCAACTCCTGTGGTTCCCATTATCCTTCACACAAAGAAATTTAAATAGCCAGGGCAAAAAGTTAATCTCAATTATTAATCTGGTGGATGAGTGATTTCGCAGTCATCCTGACCAGGTTTTCAATAATGAGCTTAATTATTTAGCTTTCACAAGGGTTTCTCCACAGAACAAGATGAAGAACAACATTCTCCGGATGCGCTAGAAGTAATCACCTTCGGTAGAAGAGCGCTGATGCATTCGCTCCACGCTGACAAACTGGGCCATTTCAACAGGTTGGAATGACTGCATTTATAATCCAGCATTAGAATGAGCTGTGGCCCTGCCACAGCCATACCTTCACAAAATTTTTATATCTGTGCTCTATGTTTTGAGTTCAAAGGCTGCTGTTATTATTTATTATCCAAAGAAAATGTGCTCATAACTGCACAAGAGCGCAGGCTCTGGAATACCGCTGTATAAAACACTTACCACGCTGAAAAAACCAAAGAAAAGCTTAACATGCACTGTTACATACATGGTGATAACATCGATCTTCTTTATTGCCCTATATCAATAATAAAATAGCCTAGTGGCTCTGGAACTACTTATTCAAAGCAGGACAAATTCTACTCCCTTGTGAAAAACTTCACAAGCTAACACATTATAGCAACCAGGAGGGCAAGGAAACCTAAAAAGCAACCCAAGAGGCAGCTGTTACACCATTAAAAGCTTGAAGAAGGTCAACTGAAAGGAAAAACCTGATGGGAACAGCAGCTCTGAATGGACTTGAAACCTTCCCACCTCTAAGGAAGACTCAGTTTTAGAAGGTCAGTTTTGCCAAGTAAAATGCAGCCCAGCTGCAGAGGGACCACCCTTGGCGTCTCCGCTGCATTAAGAGGGGATTTCTCCTTGGGTGAATGAAGGGGCTGGGAGCAGGGGCTTGGCAACAAGAAGAGGTGTTGATGCTATAAAAAGGGGGGCTGAAGAAGGATGGAATTGATTACAGCATGTCGAGAAAACGTACCAAAACCCAGGAGGGAGACTTGGGGCAAGACGACGGGGAACATGCTCAGTTCCTCCTCCCAGAAGGGAAGCAGTAAGGTAACAGGTACCTGGAATACAGCTTATTAATCCGGGTAGCAAGGCACAGGACACTATGTGGGAGAAATCGTGGATTGTCTCCGAGTTGGACAGTTTCAGACGGGGTTTGGCTTCTAGTTTGAGATGAAGTTTGTAAGTTATGAAGTGACAAGTATGTACATGGTCTATGTACCCTGAGATTCAGGCCGAGATTCTCCTTTCAAAGCAGGGTCCTACGGAAAGCCTGTCTGCCAATGCCCAGCTCTTCTCACTGCGCTTGCACCTGTATCTTCAAAGCTGTACCTACAGTCATCATCCCTTTTACCATCCCATCTCCAAGTGTCTTGCTCCTTGACGTCTCCCTCTTTCAACCTTACCTTTCCAGTAAGTTTCCTCCTTTTTCATTACTGCAGATTTTCCATTTAACACAGCGGAACTGACTCTTGGTCAGGCACTAGGAAGTTGCCTATTGAGCTCAGCCCCACGTTTTAAACACAAGAACTATGAGAATAAACACGGTGTTCTCTGTGCGTGTTAGTTTTCTCTCCTGGCCCCTGAGCTCAACTGGCTTTACATAAAGCTTTAGACAGTGTTTTTTGTCAGCGTTTTTTTGTCTCATTTTGTTACTTGTCTCATGAGATCTCCTTTCTTGTTCCCTTCGTTCTTGGTGCTGCTCTGCCAGTGCTGTTACAGGAGCCACTGTATCTCTTAGGGCATGATTAAAAGGAACTTTAACCCTTCTGAATGAGCCTGAGAAGTTCAACAGGTGTCAGGAGGAATGGAAGAGGAGATACCGCAAGTAACAAAAATCAGATGCCTCATTCTATTTTGAGGCCTGGCAGTTCATTTCCCTGGTTTCTGTTTTGTGTTGCATCTTGTACTAACCTGTAAGAATAAGAGATAAAGGAACAGCAGGTGCTTTAGTGGTGGGAAATTCACATTCAGCTAGGAGCAAAGGAAAAGTTAGTGAAGGCCCAGCACAATCCACAGTTCTGCATTAGTTAGCAGGAATACGTCCTCTACAAGAGTTAGCTTTGTTCTCTTTAGCACGCCACACTTACTAAAAATGCACGATGCTAAAGGAAGTTTTTCTGAATCTCCATCGGGCATTCAAGTCCAAGAACACTAGATGCCTTTGCAGTGGCAAATAAACCCAGGTCTTGCGCCTCTGCTTCACCAAAGCTCCGATGATCAAAGCAGTAACTCAGGGAGGGCATCTTCTGTGCACTGGACTGTTTCCCTGTGCATGAACATTAGGCAGCTGCAGCTTAAATACATGCAGGCCTAGAAAGAAAAAACTGGCGCTCTCCTGATACTGAAATGCACTTGGGTGCTGCTACCGAGGGAATTCTCTAGCAGAAGTTTCATTTTCACTTCCAAGAGAAAAGCTGCTTCACCTGCGAGCGAAGCCACGGCTGAGATGGTGAGAAGCCAGCAATGTTAAGTAATCCGAATAAGAAATACAACAGTGCAAGAGGAGGAGAAGCTGGCGTGACTAGCCCTGGCTTTGTTACCTGTACGGAACTAACAGTTCCCAGTCACACATACACGAAATAATCACCCGTTGCAGAACAGACTCCACCAACAGCGCAGCATGTACCTGCCGTTGGCAGAAAGACACCAAGGCTACAGCCTCGGGTATGGACTTCTCCAGAACACCCTTTCCATCTGCCATCCCCTTAGCAAAGACCTACTGGAAGAAAACCAAGAGGGATGTTTTGCCACCACAGTACCAGTTTCTTGTGACTCTCTGGGCTCACAATCACAAGCTGCATTTTAGAAGTGGTCACGATGGCAAAGAAGATCAGTTATCAGCAAACAGCAGTGGAACAAGAGATCAACAAATAGGAACTGTTTCTGTGCTGCATTTCAGGGCCCACTGGACCTGATCTTGTGCATGTCTAGAGCTCGGGCTGGAGTGTGACAGGACAAAACACATTCTGTATCAGGATTCTACAGGACCAGAGGTCCTTCTGCCTCAGACCCAACAGACATATCCAGATGATTTATATGTAGACATATGAACAAGCACAAGGATAAACAAGGTTAAGAACATGTCCCCCAATAAAAAGATATTTTATACCACACAACTCCTGAAGGGCTCTCTGGAAGGGCTTTTATCAAAGTCCAGCTGGGAAACGTGTGCTTTACTCCACAACTGTGCTCCCACATGAGGTTGCCTCTTGGAGGCATCCCCTTTCCCAAACAGCCTACCAAAAATCTGCCAGATGCTTTCCAGGTCACAGGAGAACAAGCTTGATTCGGGTGCAGGATGGATCTGACCATTGGTATTTCGTTTTCTGTTGGATTTTCTAATTTGCCCATTCTCAGTCCTGACAGGATGGCAGCAGTTTGCTACGGCTTTGCATCAGCTAGTAAGGATGCTGGCTGAGTAGCAAGATTCATTAGCAAGTTTTAAGAAGGTGTCTAAGCTTAAAAGCATGCAGGGGGGATTAAAACGTGCCCTATCACCCCTTTCCAGAGCTTAGGCCCAGTCACATTCTGTAGCTGACAGTTCCTCAGAATAAGAAATTACTGATTGTTTCCCATCACAGCCAGAGTAAGCAGAACACATTGCAGAAAAAGCAAAGAAAGAGCCTACAGCTAACAGCTCTGAGGCATCCCCAAACGGCAGATGTTGGTAGCTTCAGAGACTGGAAAACCAACTCACTTCCTCCGGGAATGAAAGCAAGGGCCTTTCCTCCGATCTGCACCGAAGTGGAAGTAATGCCATTTAGCATCAGCAGACTTAACTATGGCTTTATCTCATGGGACAAGAAAGCAAGGTCAAAGCCCATGCACAGGTTGAGAAGCACAGCTTTGGACAATCCAGTGAGAAAGTGTTGACCTTTTCCCTTCAGGTCCCTTCTTCTCTAACACATGCACAAATCTGACTTTTGAGATTCACAATTAGTCAATTTGCACAGACTTTGCATCTGCAACACCACCACTGCCAAAGACTGTAAGTTGGCATGCTACATTTACACTTGGCAAAATACCCACTAAGCAACAAAGTATGTGCAGAAAGCATTTTAAGGAGGACTAGAGTTAAGAAAAAAACCAAAATATAATTCAAGAGACCAGGGAGGCAAACGGGTTTTTAGTTAGAGCAGGCTATTAGAAAGAATAAAGATTCCTCAGAAAATTGCAAGTTAAACAGGGAACAGAGGGCAAAAATCTGTCGTAAGTTGGTCACACACTGAACAATCAAGATGCAACATCTCAAAGCTGAAGAAGTCCACCAGCCAGGCACCGCACACAGTAAGAACGTTACTCACTCATGT